TTAGCGCTTGGTTGGACTGACTGCTGTCTGTGTGCCTGCGCTCTCCTCTCATCCATGCCAGGACGCTGCATGGTGATGAGGAGAGGAAAAAAAGAAAGGTGTCAAGAGAGAATTACACTGAGCACATAAGAGCTAATTACTTCATGGAGACAATTTAAGAGTGAGCTGAAATAATCCCTGTAGATTCAGAGAAAAGCAGCACAGTGTACCTGTAAAAACAGCAAAGACATTCCGCAAGGAGAGAGATAAAATATGAACAGTACAGTTGAGGTGGATCACTATAGATGCTGTGGCATCAAAGCAGTGTTTCTGTTGGATGTTTTACATGTGTTTAAAGGACTATCTATATTTAATCAAGCAAAAAAAAAAAACGTTCAATTGAAATATAATGGCAGTGACTGGAATTTGTAAAATGAAGTAGTGACCCAGTTACTCTGGACAATCCACAGATAGTTACCACTTTCTACTGAATAGAGACAGATAATATCAAAATGTGAGCAAACTAGAGACCATGGGGCAAATAGGATCATACCAGCAGCACAATCCGTCAACGTGTTCCAACACATGAGTACTCTGTAATTATTTCTACATTGAGCACTGAGCACTCAGCATTGACCATATCCATCATCAAAGCTGTCATTAGTTTTGCTCTCCTGTACTCTGACGTTTTGTGGCTATATCATGCAGACAGACACACAGACAGGCAGACACCTTCCAAAGTACTCAGAACTGCCCAAGGAAGTGCAGTGTCCAATTTGGAGCCAGCAATAATAAGATTTGAATGAACAGGTAGGCAGTGTGCCTTAACAGAAAGTCTGTAAACATTTCCTATTTCACAATCCCAGTTAACCATCAGCAGTAGCTGCAACCTGACCCACCACATAATTTTGTTAATTAAATTTTTTTTATTTCACCATATTGGACTGATCTGGTCCAATATGGTGAAATAGGTGTCACTGGTGCTGATCTCTGTCATGGCAACACCATCGATTGAATTGTTTCCTATTTAGCAATTTTTGTTGCTTCAATGTTTGCATTGAGGTGAATTATAGAGCCTTTATTTTGAAAAGTTGGGAACTTCGGTATCGGAATAAGTGTTGATTGCTTAACTGATCCTCAGATATCATTCAAAGTTATATATAGGCCAGAGACGTGAACAGTAATAAAGTAAATTCTGTTTAATTTTATGATGAACAAAAAAAAATGGTGGGGAGTCCAGTTGATCGTGGATGGCTTCAATGCAGATAAACCCAGTAGGATGAACACAAAGTTTTCTAACTTAGTCTGACTGTATAATAAGCTCTGCACACAACCTCCAGCACACAATAAATAAAAAGTGACAGTCTATTGTTGAACTGTTTGAGGAGGACTCAAGAATGACAAGGAATAAATCTGAAGTAGCTCTGGAGCATCAACACAGGAAAAGAGAACAGGCCATTTAAAACAGATTCAGAACTGGCACTGCACTAGTTCTGTAATAAAACAAACACCTTTTGCCTGCCTAGATAAAACCAGGGCTAAATGTAAAATCAGTTTTTACTGGAGATGGCATTATGGTTTCTCACTTTGCTCCTGACTGAAATTGCTCAACATCTACTGGATGGATTGTCATGACATTCCACACGGACGTTCACGATCCACGGAGGATTAAACCCGCTGATGCCGCATGACATTTTGTCTTCTGCCTGTAAAATATGGTAACTGGTTGCTGATGGATCGGCACAGAGCAGCGCTGAGGCTGAATGTGTCCTATACAGACATTGATGGAGAAGTGTCTGTGCTGCCGCTGCTGAGCTACTTTCGCTCCTCAGCCTGAAGACATAGTGTGACACTGGTAATTAAGTAGGAGCTTTTTGTCGAGGATGTAATTATCTTATTCTTTCAGATTATTGATATCTTCATGAGGCCGTGTTAAAAGACGTCTCTCCGTACCGTATTGTGAAAGATAAAGCTCTAATACACGGGCATTTTAGAGTTATAGCAGGTTGTCTTGTTGGTGGATATTCATCTGCTAACCTGCTTCTTACATGAGGTCAAACACTGAAGACCCTGCGCCCACTGCTTTCAGTCTTTGCCAATTTACATAGAAGTCATGCAATCTGAAGACAAGTGGAGGTTATAACATTTGACCTGAGTATGAACCCTGCAGAAGAGCGCAAATCCAGTCCCGTAAAGATTCATCTTGTGCCGCATCACCACCACCACCACCACCACCCTCCCCCTTTATTACACATACAAACCCAGTGTGAGGAAAGCCATAAAACAAATGAGCTGATGTTCCCAGATAGCGTCTGGCACATGCGGTCAGATTCAGCGTTGGTTTGTCGCTACACCAATCAAAAGATGTCACCCGTTTGCGCAGAATGCAGCAGTTTTGATATTCAGTTTGATATTTGGAAGCTAGCGCTGGTGTAGCCAGCCTCTGCCCATATAGGAGCGCCTTCTCTGCAGTAGCAGTGGCTGTCACCCGTAATGAATCACTAGCTCTCTGTATTATGTCTGTGCAGCTCGATAAGAGCCTCTACTTTCAGTGTATCGGTCCCATCACCTCAAACAGAGCAAAGGAGGAAAAAAAAAGAGAGAAGGGAAAAAAAAAAAGAAAATGTAAAGGCTTCTCCTTCTCCTCCTCCACCGGCCTTCTTTTTGCGCTGCCACCTCGTCAAACAGACGCATCTCCCCTTCCACACGCATTAGCATTTTTATTAGGATGTTGAGAGTAAAGTGGATCATTTGCTGGCCTGACAACCCCCACCTCTCTCCATCCTCCCACCTCCCCCTCCCTTTATGCTGCATGTTCCTGGGGACAGGAAGAGATATGACCCCCGACTTCCTGTGGACAAGCAGCAGCATGAGACAAATGCCTGGACGTTAAAAGCAGCACTGCAAGGTCAGCCGCTGCTCCGGTCCCCCCCCCCCCCCCCCCCCCCCCCCCGTGGTCACATAAAGAAACCTCAGTTACCAAACCCACTCTTTTCATTCAGAAAGAACTCAATTGGAGTCAAATCTTGATTATTCCACAAGAGATGTTTGCTTTACCGACAGCAGGTGATCAGTCAATAGATACATGAAACGCAAACACATCTATTGAAGCCCATTGTGCACCTGAACAGATCTAACAGCAGCTGTTGTAACTCAATCCCTCTACTCTTCAGTTTCTATCATTTAATATGGAACCAAAATGTTTGCGATCAGATATTGATCCTCTCCGCGTAGTTCATCCAAACTCAGACATAACGATTTTCATAATTAGTGAAAAAATGAAAAAGCTGCACCCTCATTGCAGTCAAAACACGTTTGAGTTGATCTGCAGTGTTGTGGCCTCACGGAGTTGCATGTTGTACCGCTCCAAGCCAAACTCAACGCATCGATCCCAACTCCGCTATTTATAGAGACATAGTTTTTATGTGACCTCTCAGTGTTCTGTCGATAGCTGGGAAATAACACAACCGAACTCAGCGATGCGGTTGTAAGCACCAATGAATGTTTCAGCTGATGTTCAGCAATTATGTGTTTGTGTCTAACACCACTGCAATAATGGACCACTGATATCTGCAGTGTCACCAGAACAACAAAAAATCTCATGCATAACAGTGTCTGATGTCTTTGTGTGAATGGTTAGTTTTCTATAATGTACAATTGGGGTCTGTGCTACATTAGCTTTACACTGTAGGAATGTATTTCAAACATATTCATTCAAGATGTTTCTCTCAGTCATTGGTTGAGACCAAAACGGAGCTAAAAGGATATCTATGTCTTTATCTATCTATATCCTATATCTACTGGATGTGTAAAAGTGGAAATGTTTTCTGGGGAGTTTGACGAATCAACTTAAAATGTTATTGTAATATTGTGCCCCATGGTGGAAGAAGGAGATCTGACTCGTAAAACACCCCTCTGGACTGGCTTTTATGTGGTACACTCCAGATTCCCCTCTCTATAAATGGAGTTGGAATCTCCCTCTTCCTGTTTGGCAGTGGGACCAGGACCCTGCATGCAGGTGAGGGAGGGTGGATATAACATGGCAAACACATGTACCCCAAACATTTAATAACAATAAATGTTTGTGAAACAAAACTGTGTGTCGTTGAGGTTATTTCTGACGATTGGTTGTGGACTCTGTGTATCAGTACAGTTTAGAAACATTAAATGGTTTGTGAGTACGAGCTTAACAAGCTGCCATGCTGCCTAATGATACAGGCATGCTAATGCTACTGATGTGCTGCAACTAATGGTGTATATTAAGTATTTGCCACCTTTTATCTTACAGGGGATGGGGTAACCCCATGACGGTTATGGTATCACAGTGTTGTGATTGCAGCTTATTCCTATTATAATAAATGTGGTTAACGCAGGTTTTTGAACTGACAAATAATTTTGCTTGTGCTACCAAATTGTGGTCAATACTGTACATGGTCATTTCAAATCTAGTGTTACAGGGTACACCACCCCCACTGCTCAAATATGTATCAGCTGTAGCTAAACACAGGTTTATAAGGGTAAGTGCACATGTCCAAAAAAAACACCAAAAAATATATATCCATCTGCAAATGCTGAAATTTTGAAATAATGTAGATACAGTGCAGGTCGGTTAGTGTCAGACAGATACGACAGTTAAATATTTAATTCGGTCCAAGTAACAGACCTTTTTTACCCAGGTGACTTTATTTATTGATGGCTTTCCAGAAGTGAAGAGGATTTCAAGTATAACAAAAAGCATTTCAGAAACAACTTACCAACCCTAACTTTAATATCTAAATTTAAGGGGTCATTCTCAAAATGAGTTTGCGTATTTTAGCGATGAAGCCTGCTATTGTGTTTACACATTATCATATTTACAGGCCCCAGTCAGCCTCTGAAAGCACAATAACTCAGGTTTGGTGCAGAGTCAAGTCGTCTCACATTTGTTATATGAGGAATGCACAAATGAGCGTGATTGCAAAGTTTGACTCCAAATGGTTGTGATCATCTCTCTCTCCTTCTCCCTGCCTCTCTTTCTCCAGGTAGCATTGTGTATCTGGGGATGATGTTTGGAGCCTTTTTTTGGGGCGGCCTGTCGGACAAGGTGGGCCGTAAACAGTGCCTGCTGATATCCCTGTCCGTCAACGGCTTCTTCGCCTTCCTCTCGTCCTTCGTTCAAGGCTACAGCATGTTCCTCCTCTGCCGCATGGTCTCTGGCTTTGGGTGAGTCCACTTTACATTATCCTTTTTTTTCCCTCTTTACATCTCATCGTCCTCCTCCCATCGTCCTCCTCCCATCGTCCTCCTCCCATTGTCCTCCTCCCCCTTCATCCAGAGACTGTAGCCTCTCAGAGGACTTACTGACCTGATCCTACGGTTTCTCTGCTGTCTCACCCCCTCAAAAGTCAAAGCACATGACTAGAGGCTTCACTGACTGCCTGGCACCAGCACATCCTCATCCCCTGAGTGAGGGGAGAAGGAACAAAGTGAAACAGGAACATTTGCAGAAATGAGCTGAGCACAGTAAATGAACATCTGGTGCCGAACGTTGCTCTGGTCTGCTTGGCTGCCCACATCCTTGATAAATGACACACGCTCCAATCTTAGTGATCTGACATCCCTGCTCGTTTATGACCTATAAAGTTCACCTCTAGAGCAGAGGTCAGGCTACTGAGGTAAATATAAAGTCAATTACATGGAACAAAAATAATTATGGGACACACTTTGTTCTAATGTGACCACACGGTGATTACTTAAGCTGATGTCGGTCTCGGATGAAGCTCGGATAACAGTAATAAGATCTAAATGTGAATTAAAGTCAGAGGGCGCTGTTGTCGGCCTGAGGGCATTTGTGTGAGTGGTTTAAAACCTCCGCTGGGGAGAGCTGTCGAAACCAAGAACAAGTAAGAAAATACTATTTTCCTGCTGCTGTGCTGGAGACTCATACAATTATTTGTGTGTGTTAAATGTACATTTAATTACAGACCTACAGTCCAGTCGGTTTCCAATACACTTAGTTAAATCGACTTATTCCTGGCAGTAGTTACCCGATTTGCACTCATGCTCATTTGTGTTTAATTACACTTGTATAAGAAACCAGTAAGACTCTCGTTGTACCTTATCGTCTAAAAAAAACACACCTGTACCATTGTGGCTTTGATTTATATTTTTTCATTGGTAGCTTTAGCTTTTATTTCATCACTTCATTCTCAATCTGTATGCAGATGCAGGTTTATGGGAGTGGGTGAAAGAGATTTATGATTGTGCATATTCCTTTAAGAAAATGTGCCTGAACAAACAGGTCTATACTGTTGGGAGCTGTGGTGGTCTTTGTGACAGAGTAACAGATTTCTAAGGAAAGGCCAGGGTCTCCATTTTTTTTTACAGCCTCAGTCGAAGAGAAATACGATCCAGCATTGAGTGTTTTCGCTGAGATTCTGCTTGATTCATTAACGTTTCCTTACCTCATTAACTTTGCAACCATGAGCTGTCTCAACAATCAGCGAAGGGGACAAAAAGAGAGACCCAAAGTGCCTCTCTGTCAAATCACACATTCAGTGGAGTTCTTAATGTCCTAAGAGGATACGTTTACGAGAACACATCACACACGTCAGTATGTGCAGCGCATATCTCGAGAACCATTCATCTTATCGACTTCACACTTGGCGTGTGTATTGTAAATTGCCAATGGAAATGTGATGCAGGTTTTGGTGCGATTGGGACACGTGGTACATTTAGTTTTAGGCTGCTGATCGTCTTCTTCTGCATCTTCAGGTGAACCTCAGTGGTCGGCAACTGCGTAAAACTCGCCGCCAGATCATTTTGAAAATGTATTTATGTTTATTTTACGATATTTGACTGAACTCTGTCATAGCAGCAACATTCATAAGAAACACAACGTTTGTTTTGTTGCTGTAATGCTTTATAATGAGCGGAATCACAGAGAATTTATTTTGAAAAGATGTGAACTTGGATCTCTGAAATAACCAACCTTCAATATAATGTCATGAAAAAATAAGAGCAGTAAATCATTAAACATACACATGCTCACTCACTAATGTCAACGAATCATTCTCAAGTAGATCTGGAGAAAATAACAGGGAGAAAACAGCCCAGGCAGGTTTACAATGGGCACTGAACTAGTATATAGAGATATGACATTTTTAGACTAAATTGCACATGAGTTCATTCTGAGGCTTAAGTTTGTATTGAACAAGATGTTAAGCTGAGCTAACTGGTTAATCTCTCTAGTTTACAGACATTCTACTTAACCTTCAGAAAGACAGTGTTATCAATGTTTCAACATAACATCCTTCACTCTTAACAGAAAAATGTATCCAGATGCAGTTGCTGAGATAAATTTGGCAAAAAACTGTGTTTTACTTTAAATACATTTACCCAGAAAAGAAACAAATGTGTAATGACAGTAACGTTATAAATATCCCCAAAGTCAGGGTATCGCCTCAGTTATACTCGAGTCAAATGGATGTAATTTGCCACTTAACATTTTTCCACCTTGACTCTGATCTCTTTTAGCTGAATTCACTCCCTCTTCAAATAGTTTGCTGTTTGTTTTGTGTTTTTTCCTTAAAAGCTTGAGCTGCGAACCAAATCGCAGAGAGACGCTGCTGTCTCCGCTGACACCTCGCTGATGCTCCAGTTCAGTGCAGATACACATGAACACAACGACGTGACGTTATAAGATTTCATTAGTATGAGTCAATGTTGTGTGCAATGTTAGATTTTCTGTCTGATGAAAACACTTTTTCAACAGCCTCTGACTCATTTGAGAAAAAAACACAAAAAGTGAGGTTGCATCAAAGTTTCCAAAACACACTTTCACCGTCCTCTGTGCTGTTTTATTTCTTTGGTGAGTGGGCGACAACATGTCTTCCCTAAAGTAGTTTTGGGTTGTTGTTACTTCCTGATGATACAGGTTTGAAAACAGACCTGGTTTATAAGGTTTGTGTCGGAATCTTTCTTATAACTGATTTTCTTCAGACCACTTTATTTCACAGACTGCTGTTTAATATTTAAAGTTAAACCAAAACGATATTAAACCTGGAATCATCAGAAGAAAAGAATAGTAAGATCCTGTTTCTCACAGGTAGTAAAAACTTAGTTTAACTCTAACATCCCCAAAGACTATTTGCATAATCATAAGTTATATATTTGACAGTCACGTGGGACAATGTGTTTGTATTATTTACAGTTAATTCATTTCTAATCGGTAAATCCTGCTTCATCTTCATCATCTTCTTCATCCTTGACTTTTGATGATTTCATGTAACCATTTTGTGTTGCATGTTTAAAAGGAACCATGGCAACAGAAGCATAAATAGCTCATTATGAGAAACTATTTTTGCAGGATCGGTGGTGCTGTTCCAATAGTATTCTCGTACTTTGCGGAGGTGTTGGCTCGGGAGAAGAGAGGAGAGCATCTGAGCTGGCTCTGCATGTTCTGGATGATCGGAGGAATTTATGCCTCAGCCATGGCCTGGGCCATCATCCCACACTATGGTGAGTGACAGCTCTGACCAGTCATAACAACACTGATGTGAGTGTCAACCAGGATCAACAAATTCTCTCAATAATAGGAACAGAACAATGAAGAGAAAGTGAAGTGAAATATAAAACCTGCAGAATGTCCAGTTAAATCAACAGTTGAGCCAGTTAAACTTTTTGCCTGAAGCCCCTTGCAGCCTCTAAAACTCGCCTGAGTTGCTCTATTTATGAATAAAATATTAAATGAAAGGGCGGCATGGTGGTACAGTGGTTCGCACTGTCACCTCACAACAAGTGGTTTGAATCCTGGTTCACCCAGGGTCTTTCTGTCTTAAGTTTGCATCTTCTCCTCATGTCTGCTTGGGTTTAATCCAGGTACTCCGTCCTCCACAGTCCAAAGACATGCAGATTGGGGTTAGGTTCACAGGAGACCGACTGTGAATGTGAGTGCGATTGAATTGTGTCTCTGTATGTTGGCCCCGTGATACAGTGGTGAGAAGCAATGTCCACAACAGGACTAAATGCAGACTGTTCACTGTTTTGCTGCAGTGCTGTAAACCAAGCAGAATTGGGACGGGGAGTGTAGATTGCGTTGGTTGCTTAACAGACCTCTGAAATAACCAACATGCAATGTATGAAACAATAACACCTACTTTATACATATGAGCCACACACATAAACAATAATAAAGCAAATTCATTTCTTGAAAAACTGATGATAAAATCATGTGGTAGATCACAGGTCACTGAAGCTTCAGCCAAGCAAACAGCCCATTCCAAACAGGCAGGTTTCCAGAGGGCTCTGCGGCAGTAGTGTAAAGTAAGAGCAAAATAACTGAATGTACATTTGCTCTCAGCTCCGGTAAACCCAGGTTCCACACTGGGCGAGTTCCTCACCGCCCGGAATCATTTGCATCACTAGTTTGAACATTTCTACAAATAGAGATGGCGATAAAGTTTGACTGTACAGTGTGGTTCTACTTTTGATGGTGCTCCCTGCTGTACTGAGGCACATAAATATCTCTACGTGATACATAAAATGCAGGAGGAAAAGAAAGAAACAAGAAAAAAATCTAAATTTAGCAATC